AAAGCAATACCTCCAATGGTTTTGAAATAAAGTGAGGTGGTACAAAAAACTTAACCAAGATTGTAAGTCGATAAAAGGCCTTAATTTTTAAAACAAATCCTTGACAGAGTTACCTTCTCTTGCGTACAGATGGGGGTAATGATGTGAAATAGCATTAAAAGTTTCAAAGCAATATCTCAAAGGGTTAAGGCAATAAGTGGATTTTACCCATATTCAATGTATTTTCTAAGTCAAAAAGGGCATAATTCTGTCAAAAACCTTGACAGAGTTATGTCCTCTTGTCTGTTGATGAAGGTCGTGATGGTAAACAAGTATGGTCAGTTTCAAAGCAATACCTCCAATGGTTTTGAAATAAAGTGAGGTGGTACAAAAAACTTAACCAAGCTCAATACACTTTCTAAGTCAAAAAAGGGCCATAATTCTGTCAAAAACCTTGACAGAGTTATGTACTCTTGTCTGTAGATGGAGGTTATGATGGTGAACAAGTATGGTAAGTTTCAAAGCCATACTTGTAATACTTCTGAAATAAAGTGGGGTGGTACGAAAAACTTAACCAAGGTGTGACGCCAACGCTAACGCCGACGCCGGGGCGAGTAGGATAGCTCCCCTTTTCATAGAAAAGTCGAGCTAAAAATGGGTAAAAGACATTAAAGGAGTCCTATTGTCAAGGGCTATTATTATCAATCCAGTGGCGGATTCAGGCCCGGGCTTCAGGGCTGCAGCCCCCCCAGGTCGGCCCAAAGATACGTTTACCAGCTGGGCTGGAATATATTTTTGTCAGTTTCAAACTTTATTGGCTGTAGTGTACTCCCTTATCAAAACGTTAATTGCTTTCTCACAGTTGTTAATCTCCTGCCTGGGGGCTTGGCAGAGATCTTTATCTATCAACATGCTTGAATGACTTCAATGTTTCAACTGCATAATTGATTGGTTTATTACTTTTCTAAGGTCTAATAGATAGTGGCAAATATAGATGTGTTACATTGTACACCATAGTTCACTATCTTTGTCTTTCCATTTCCTTTAGAAATTGAAAATTATTATATGTAAATTAAAAAGATGGCGAGTTTTATAAAGATAATATTGAAGGAATCGCGCTTTAATAACTAGTTTTATTAAGATGAAATAATTGGTCATTAGCTTTGAATAACTGTTTATGGCACTTATATTTTTAAATGAAATTTAAATTTTACTGACCTGTTTAGTATCTAAAATGGATTCATTGATGGAAAAAATTCTTATTGAATACTAGTGTTTGAAACTTGTTTGAAATTATTTTATTGTGTACATAAGGAAGGCAGTATTTTAATATCTCTTTACTTTGGAAAATCGTCTATTATTTAGATAAGTAAATTGATCAAGTGTTTGAACTTATTTTTTTAAAACAGTTGTGCATACATTGGTAAGTGTGCTGTTATTTTGTAAATGCTCACTACTCAAAAATAAAACACGAGGGGAATTCTTTTTGAAAGACTCTACAAACACTAACCTATACAAAATACAGTGTTTTGTAAAACCATCCAAAATTAAAGGTACCATAAACTATAGAACTAGAAAGTCAAGGAAATAACACCATTTTCAAACTATATAAAGTCAAGGAAATAACACCATTTTCAAACTATATAAAGTCAAGGAAATAACACCATTTTCAAACTATATTTTTTTATCAGTTTATGGGAGGGGACACCCCTCCCAGGCCCACCCCAGTTACATATATTTTTTATTAATTTCATATCATCTAAATATTTACAAAGAAAAACATTAGTTTGCTCATATATAACAGAAAAAAGTACATTGCCACTCATAAAGATGAGCTATAAAACACATCTTTTTTCACAAGAACAAGATGCTAGCCCCAATCTTCAATTTCCACCTGTTGTATTATGTTTGTCAAATTCTTCCACCCATATGTCAGCCCCCCCATGAAACCATGTTCTGTATCCGCCCCTGCAATCAATGTGTATGTTAAGGATACCGATTAATTAGGTGATAATTATGATTGACTCATTCATTCAAATTTGATTAGTGACCACTTGCAATTAATTAGAAGCTCATGATATTAAGTAAACACGTTTTTGTTTCATATTTTTTTGAAAATTACTTTACAAACAAATGCATCTAAGGAAACACATTTTTATTATATCAATATTAATTTTATCGAATCTACAAGACAAATAAATTACATTTTTTTTCTAAATATACTTTATTTCGGCAGAAGTACAATGTATAATTATCAGGCTGGTGAAATTGCCAGATCGGACTTAAAATGAAAAAATGTAATTTCTCAAAAACAGTCAAAGATATTGCTTTTAAACTTGTGATATATCTTATAGTGATGGAAATCGGATGAAATTTGTCCCAATCGATCATCGATTCAGTCGGATGGGACATAATCGATAACTTTCGAATAAAGTCGCGTTAGAAAATAAATAGGGAAGTAACATTTCTTACCAAGGCACTTGATTATATTTAGTAACATGAACTTCATTTAGCACTTTTCAACACAGTTTTAACCTTATAAAGTCATAATTTTACGAAATAGATTTTATTTTTCAAGGGATGTCAAATAATACCATTCACATCACATTATATAACTATTGTTTACATAACTTATTGATCCTGTTCAACTCCAAATTGTCTCTGAGTGATTTTTTGCGATAGGCGAGGTGTTCTTAAAAGAAAATTACCGTCAGAATTAATTCCCTTTGATACTTCGAACATTTTCGACGACGTCGCAGAACAAATTTTTGTGAATCGATTATTGTCGTTTTACATAACAGTAACTGATTATCGACGACTTGCGACAATCGGAACATCACTAATATCTTAGGCATTATAATTAGATAGACTTAAACAAACGTTACATTTTTTATTATGAGTAATACGGATTTCACATCACTTTTTTTCATTTTTTATATGGTCCAATTTTTTAAAGTCCATAAACACATCTTTTGCATTTGCCTTTTTCCTCAAATCTGGATTATTTTGCATCCTGGGTATCTCTTCTAATGCGCCAGCACCTTAAATTTCTGTATTGTATGCTGTATTTTTAATTGCATTACAATTGTTGACCACACTCACCCACAGGGGTTACATGTTTTTGCTAAAAAAATTTTACACAGATTAGAACTGCCATAATTTACATGGTGGCACATTCAAATGAATATATCTGATCATATAAAACTCAAAATTCAATTGGAATTCATTTTAAAAAGTCATGTTCTTGGACTTTGAAAATTTTAGCTGCTTAAAATCCAACAAAGGCAAAATATTCTTGTGTAATAACTGAAATTCATTTAATTTTAGTTCTTATACATCACAAATTAGGTAGGAAATAATATGCTTTAAAAAGGTAAACATAACTTTGATACTTTCCAAGAAATGTGCAATTTTCATTTTAAGCCCGATCTGGCAATTTCACCAGCCTGATTATATAATAATAAGATATTTCTTATTATTCATTTACCTTAACAACATGCAAGGCAAAGTAAATACGTTATATATATTTTGTAAAGTGAGCGGAGTTGACCCGTGCCGAGTTGGTATAGGGCCGAGTTGACTCTTTTCCATTTATAGGACTACTGATCAACTAGAGTCAGTGTACCCGGTTCCGCACAGGACCCGGTCCCGCACACTTTCCCATTTTTCATTTTTTCTTTAAAAATCAAATGATTTTATTCAGTTTTCATTTGTGTTTTACTGAACTGGCATGTTTTCAACAGGATATGACATAATCTGGGATCTTGCACCCCAGCCTTTCCCTAAAGAGTGCAGATGAAAATGTAAATACATGTACATGGCTGTGTAGGTCACACATAAAAACATCTTTTTCAGCAATTAAACCATGCTAATTTCTATTTCAATGTTAAGATATTTATAAAATATATATTTGAAAATAAATGTATGTTTTTGTTTTGGCAAATTTGCTGATAGTTATGAAATATATGCACATGATTTAACTTCTCCTAATAACCAAACGTCAAGTCATTTCACCTTGATTCTTTTGTTTAAAATGATACCAAACTCTTAATCGAACAAGTCATAACTAAACAGATGAAAAAACCTTCAAAAATAATGTTTTATGTCTGTGTTTACTATCTACAAGTGGTAAAAGGTATATTTCAATTGCTGTTACATGTTTCCTGTCAGTGATTTTTCTCACTTAATTGGAAAGAGGCCTTAGCCTCTTGATTTTGGGAAAAATTATTGCTAAAATTGCTGATTTGGGAAGTAAAAAAGCTGGTTTAAGTTCAGTTTTTTTGGAAAACTGCATGATTTTAAAGAAAATTTCAATTAGGAAGAGGCCTTTTTTCGGAGTCTGTTATATAAGTAGGAAAATCACTGCCTGTGTGCTACTATGCTTGGAAATAAATGTTTGTATACTGTAGTAAGAATGTGCTTTAAATTTATTTGAACTCCTGAAAATTTGCAAAACAATATAACTTATCTGGACTTAGAGATGTTAAATAATTTATAAAACATGTTTAAGATGTACAATAACCTTTCATTATAAAAATGGCCTTGTGTGCGGATCCGAGTCCACTATTTATCATATTTGGCCCATACCTGTTGCTTAAAATCAAGTGCGCCTAGAAGTATGACCTACTTAAGATAGAAACGTTTTGGTCATCAGTTTTTATAGGCAAAGGATGTAATTTTCAAAATAATATCAATTATAAGAAGAATTTTTAACTATAAGATAATTTTCTTATTTTTCCTTAAAAAAGTGTACGACTCCGGGTACACTGACTCTAGTCCTACAAATTAGACTTGTCAAAGAGACTTACATAGAGACTTACATAGAGATAATTTTGGACGTCGATGTCTTTTTCCACGGTTTGTCAGTATGAAAAAGTGTGTAAAATGGGTCAAACCGTTCACGCCGAATTAATTATGCTACTAATCAACAAAAACAATAAAAAATAAAAAAAATTGCCTCGCGAAAACATATTATATTCTGCAATAAGTCTCTAGCAAATTAAACATGTAACAATATGAACCTCAAATCAGTATCCTCAAGAATGAACTTAATGTTTTCATCCGAAACCTGTGTGATTTGGACTGTCGGTTGGTTGGCGTAAGGCATTTTGATTTAATAAAGCGAATATTTTGCGAAATCGCAACAAAAAACAACTTCCGGTTTGATCAAGGGACAAACTGTTATCTATTATTTTTCTATTACATTTTCTTTAGAAAAATAAATTACTGATTATGCTTTCAAAAGAAAAAGAATAATATTCTACATGTTTTCTTATATTAATATCCATATAACATTCTTGCCTTTAAAAGATATTTATTTAAGGAAGTGGCTAGCCGTACGGGCCCCCAAAAGTTCTAGCCGTACGTGAGTCACGTACGACTAGCCAGGACACACTGTATTGGCTAGCCGTACGGCACATTTCAAAAATATATGGAAGGCGAATGTGCATATGTTAATTATGACTTTAAGCGAGGATTTTAGTCAAGAATGTTTACTTTTTAGAGATTAATCGACGTGTTAGCTACAGTAAAGAATGTACGTACTTTGTCATCTCAAGACGTCGAGAAAAAATAGCGTTTTGTTGCAATTAAATAACATCAATTGAAATAGTTAACAAAATTTTGATAATAATCCTTTTTTGTTTCATTAAATTTAATTTTTAAATTGATAGAAAAAAACAAAACAAAAAAAAACAAAACAAAAAAAAAACACACCGAAAATAATTGTTGTCGGTCTCTGATAATTGCGTCAAATACCGACGGTATAGAAGTTTGTCCATCGTCCATCATTAAGGAAAGTTTGCATTATTAAATTATTTTTCCTTTTCACCGTTTTATTTCATTCCCCTCCGATCATTATTTATTCGATCCATGTGCTTAATTAACAGATTTAACAATTCATCTTTCATACAAATCATAAGCATGAAAATTAAGGACGTTATAACATGCAACTATAAGACACTTAATTTTATTAAGATAGATTATACAACGCTTACTCGAATTCATTTTTTTTTTTTTTGCAAATTTGCGGAGCATCTTTATTAAAGTGAACACACTAGGACAAATGCGGAGATTTGATTAAAATCGTCGTTTAAAGACACAAAAATAACATATGCATTTTCGACTTCCATATAATTTTGAAAAGTGCCGTACGGCTAGCCAATACAGTGTGTCTAGGCTAGTCGTATGTGACTCCAAACTCCTCACAGTGATTACCTCCCTTGGCAGAATTGTAATCACTGCCTTCAAAGACGTCACATGATGATGAAAGTCAACGTAACGTCGAAATTCAAATGTAAAAATCGACCGTTACATAGAAAATCTAACGTCATTTTTCTCTTTCTGTTTTATTTTTAACTTTTAGTGCCTACGATCGATATAGTTTATCAAAAAATTACCAAAAGTATACAAAATAACGAAAAATAAATTCAAAAGCTAAAAAATATAAAATATCAAAATATTGTCTCGGTAGGAAATATTCTCATATTTTTTAAAATTATTTCTAAATATTCATATTATTTATTTATTTATCCATAAACATTGTTTAATCAATGAGAGAAAACTTAACTGATAGATAAAAGCAGTAAATAATACAATTTTTGAAAAAAATATAATATATCAGAAATTCTGATATATTGGGACCTTGGTGGCAGAGATCTACGCCAAAGAATTAAGGGGAGATCACTGTGTGGAGATTGACGTGACTCACGTACGGCTAGAACTTTTGGCTAGCCGTACGGTCCCGTACGGCTAGCCACTTCCTTTATTTAAACCGGAACTTCCGCTTGGGAGAAGTCATTACTCGAATAAAAACGAAAACAAACATGTCTTCATTTTCGGACAGTAATCTTGCAAAGAAATTAAACGAATTAAACGGAACACAGCAAAGTATACAAACGCTTTCATTGTGGCTAATACATCATAGAAAACATTCCAAGACAATCGTTCAAGTTTGGCTCCGAGAGCTCAAAAAAGGTAAGTAAAATCGTGGCTCAATTTTGCACAGCTCAAGGGAAATAATCTGGTATATGTTTCTGTATCTGTATCTGTGTGAATACGTAGGAGGACCACTTCTGGTATATGTCCTACGGGGAGTGGAGGAACTCTAGTCGAGTTTCTGAAGGGCTGATTTGAAGCCCCCTATTGTAGCTGCATGCACAACTGAATCTTCCAGATGGTTCCAATCCTCAAGTGTTTTCACAAAGAAGGAGTTTTTAAATTGATTTGTTTGTGCGTTTATAGTTTTAAATGATCTAGTGTTATTGGCTACTCTTATAATGTTTGTGGTTTCACAGTCACTGAATCTCTTTGGTTTAATTAAGCGTCCTTCAACTTTCTGAGTCAGGTATTTATCAGGGTCCACTGCTGGCACCATACCCCCTGCTATCTTGTAGAGCATTACAAGGCGGTTGTAGGTCCTACGGTCTTGTAGTGAGTCGAGTTTCAGGCTGGTCAGCATATCTGTAACACATCCTGGTTTTCTTGACTTGTAGTCATTCATAATGAATCTTGCTCCTAATCTTTGTATATTTTCCAGTTTATCAATATCTTTTTTCAAGAACGGGTCCCAGATGATTGAAGCGTATTCTATTTTCGAACGTACAAGGACTATAAAGGCTGTTTTTCTACAATCTAGAGGGCAATGTTTCAAATTTCTTCTAAGAAAGCCCAGGGTTGAACTTGCTTTTTTACATATATTTGTAATATGGTTGGTCCATGTCAGATCGTTGGAGATAAGTACACCAAGATAAGGATTTGAGTCCACATGTTTTAAGATAGTATTATTGAGTTCATAGAAGTGTGATGTCTTGTTTTTGATGCTCAGTATATAGCATTTACCAGCGTTGAACCTCATTCCCCACTCTGACGCCCAGTTCTCAAGGCTTTTAAGGTCTTTTTGTAAAGTTATGTGATCTTTGTGGTTTTTAATTTCTCTATAGAGGAGGCAATCGTCTGCGAACAGTCTGACTTGTGATTTGACGCTTAATGGTAGGTCATTTATGTGACAAAGGAACATCAGAGGTCCTAGTACAGTACCTTGGGGCACGCCCGATTCAACATGGGTGCTCTTGGAATGTTCTCCCTCGACTACTATATATTCATTGTTCTCTCTTTCAAGAAGGACGACAGCCAGGTTAGTAGTTCTCCTTTTATTCCATAGTTCTCTATTTTCCAAAGCAGACGATCATGGGGGACGGTATCAAACGCCTTGGAGAAGTCCAGAATGGCGACGTCTACTTGCTGTTTTCTTTCGAAAGATGAAAGTAGGTCATGCATAGTTACTAGTAGTTGTGTTTCTGTTGAAAAACCGGAGCGAAAACCGTGGTTAAGTGATGTTAATATACGATGTTTTTCCAGGTGTTTAAGTAAGTGGCTGCATATGATGTGTTCTAATATCTTACTTGGAACTGATGTAAGACTCACTGGTCGATAGTTTTCGGCTGAGTGCCTGTCGCCTTTCTTGAAGACTGGGGTAACGTTTGCATCCCTCCAATCCCTTGGGAGTTCACCCGTGTCAATAGAGAGCTGGAAAATGCAACTTAGGCCATTCGCTAGTTCATTTGCACAGTTTTTGAGAATAATGTTTGGTAGGTTGTCTGGACCATTTGCTTTGTTAATGTTTATGTCTTTAAGTAGTTTCAGCACTCCATCTGGTTTTATAGAAAGTTTACTTATAGTAGGATATTTGTTTTTCTCTTTCATCTCAGGTAGATAATTACTGTTGTCTTTGGTGAATACTGATTTAAATTGATCTAGTAGTATTTCTGCTTTGCTTTTAGAGTCCGAGAAGAGATTTCCTTTCTTCTTTAGGGGAGCAATCCCAATGTTGTCCTGTTTTTTCGACTTGATGTAGTTCCAAAATGGTTTAGAGTTTTTCTTTTCCATACCCTCAGTGATGATCCTGTTTACATGGTCCCATTCAGCCCTGCGCATATCCCTCTTGCATTCTTTTTGGAATTGTTTGAATTTAGTCCATAATCCTGTTTTCTTTGCTTGTTTATAAAGCCTACCTTTTTTCTTTAGATTTTTTTTAAGGTTATGGTTGAGCCAGGGTAGTTTGTTGATGTGTCTTTGAATTTTCGATGGTACATTCTTTTCAATACTAGAATGAATTCGGTTTTTGAACAATGTCCATAGGTCTTCAATTTTGTGTGGTCCTGTATGAGACATAGTCTGTATCTCCTCGGACAGCTCGAGGCAGTCTTTTTTGATGGTTTCCCAGTCAGCTTTATTATATTTGTAAATTTTCCTAGGTTTCTTTTTTATATACGTGGGTTTGATTTCAGTGTCAATGACTACCATGTCGTGGTCTGATATGCCAGGTACGTTAGAGGATGCTTTCACAAGCGATGTATTTGTAGTAAAAGTCAGATCTAATAGGTTTCCTTGTCTTGTTGGTTCTCTGTGGATCTGTGTGAGATTGTGTTCTGATGTTATATCAATCAATTGTTGCTGTACAGTTCTGTCTTGGGCATCTTTGGTATTAACACACAGCCTATCCCATTCAATATCTGGGCAGTTAAAGTCACCACATAGTATAATTTCTTTTGGTTTACCTTCATTTATCAAGTCGAGTGATTTTTTCAGGTTATTTATGTCTTTAATGTTCCTTTTGGGCATATAGAAGGTGCTAACGTATATAGTTTTTAAGGATTTTACACATATTTTTGCCACTGAAAGTTCACAATCCGTCACAAATTCAACACATTCTGTGGAGGATAAGTCAGTATGTATGGCTATGAAAACACCACCTCCTTTAGTTTCTCTGTCATTTCTATAGATAACGTAATTTTCAGGGAATATTTCTGAAGATTTAATTGCATTTAGTGTTGGGTTTTTGCCTGGTTTTACTCCATGGAGCCAAGACTCTGTTCCACATATTACATCTGGTTTTATATAGTTCACAGCAGCTTTAAATTCCGAGGTTTTATCACGAATACTCCTGCAATTAACGTTAAGGATACGAAGGTTTTGTTTCTTTGGTAAGTTATATGGGTCCTCATGTAGAGTTGATTTTTTAGACCTGGTTCTGTGTAATGAGCTTATGGGTATACTGTTACTGGTGTTCGGCTGCTTAGGACTGCTGGTGTGGAGAGGGGAGAAGACTTCATTGTTTACTGAGTCTAGAGTACAATCTAGCATTGAGATTGGTTCAAAAGTATTGGATAACTGTAGTTCATAACTGTGGAATGTAAAACTATCACAATTTAAACTGTCACATTTACAACATTTCCATACTACGCTAGGTCTGTCTAGGTTTTTTCGGTCACCACTACACATAGATAAACAGGACTGATGGTACCAGATATCACAATCAAAACATTCTACTCCTTGCTGGGTCCATGTGACCGGCATGTCACACAATGCACATGGCCAAGTACTTTTATCACCTGGGCCAGGGTTCTGTTCAATGTCTCCAGCCAGTAATAGAATAAAGACAGGTAAAGTCTTCCTCGGGTCTAGGAAGGGCCTATTTCTATGGTGGAAAATTCCCATTGTGTTTAAGACACATTTCACACATCCCATGTTTGATATAATGTTTCTTGGGGTCTGTTGTTGGCTGTAGTTAATGGTTTTCTCAAGAAATACCAACAGTAAAAAGGAAACGAAAACTGGCGATAGAGTCGGCGCCATCTTGTAGCGTTGTGGGCAGGTGGGTGGGGTATGGTGCACAGCCTCGTGGGGTTTTAACGTTCACATGGTGATACCTGACTTACGTGAGCACAAAAAACATGTTTCTTATATTAAAAGGGATATTTGGCAAGTAATTGGTGTATTTAAAAGTCACTTGTAGTCAAGAAGTTAATTAAATAAGAGGATTTTTTATTCCCCTCGTGAAAAACACGACTTCTTCGCGCGCATGCGCACTCCACTCCCATATGTTTACCATATGGCATTACAAAAACGATCTATATTTTCATAAAAACATAATTTTACATAAAAATAATGTTTATCATGTATAAACGAATTTGCTGAAACATATTCTTGGTAAATCCTTAGCTGTTTGTTTGTTTGTCGTTGGAAATTAAAATTTGCATTCCTCTTTTAACTTAAAAAACTTTAAAATCTAATCAGTATTGAAAGCCAGTAAAATCAGTCCTGTTTACTGTATAAATATTGAGTTAAGATGATAATTGGAAATAGTGAAAGGGCATTGTATGATTTATTTGTTTCAAAACTTTAAATAAAGTGTAGTGTGGTTGAATACAATTTACAAATGTAGAGTGTTTAACTTTAACACTGGTTTTTTGCCTAACTTAATTTTTGAAGAGGTGTGATAGTGGTTTTGTTAATTTTATGTTACAAAGTAATTCAACGCAACACAGGGTTTCTACTAGGAACTTTTATTTAAGAGTCCCAGGGACTCATGCTTCTAAAATATGAGGGTCCCAAAGAAAAATATGAGGGTCTTAATCATTTGTTACTTTAAAGTAAGGTATTACTTATATATTGTCTAGGTTTAATTCTTTACATTTATATTCACGAATTCGAAAACCTAGCTAAACACCGTTTTCCGGTACTTTCTGTACATAGCTCTGGGGAATTTACCTAATGGAGTGTAATAGCGAACTCAATGTTTTCGGCCTTTTTTAAATTAAATTGAAATAAAACAGTTATTTCTTTATAAGAAAATAATTAAATATCATTGTATAAATAATTCCATACAAAAAATAAAATAAAAACACAAGTTTATGCAGAAAATAACCTTATTTATTATGGAAGATTCCACTACGTCTGTTTGAATTTTATTGATTTTCATTATAAACAATTTATTTTTTTGAATAATTTGCAATAGATATTAAATGAATATTTATAATTTTCAAAAACATCAATTTTTTTCACCTTAAACGGTTAAATAATGATAGAAAAATAGAAATATCTCGTAAATGTGTTATGTACTTCAGTTGGTGTAATTCCCCAGAGCTAAAACGGTAACGTACCGGAAAACGGTGTTTAGCTATGTTTTCGAAAAGGTCAATACATTGTTCAACTACATATACATTTTTATTGACCTTGTTAAATAAATCTTTAGACTCTTGATGACGGACCAATGTACTATTCTGGAAAATCAAACATCCATTTTCCTAGACAAATGGATTACTTTTTTGGTTGAGACGCAATGGTTGCATTTCATACCCGTAGTCTGCTCATTTTGGATGAGCCACGGGTTAGTACTTAGCCACTTTTCATTAAAACTATGTGATTTCTTTGGGGGAGCAGCCAACATGTTTTACAATTTATTTGCATAGCAACGCATAGACTGGGACGCTTTTTTAAGGTCAACTAAATTCTAGTTTGCGCCTTTTTATTCCATATTAAACTGTAATTAATTGAAAGGAAGATAACTCTGCTGTATTCAATATTAGGACCCCTCTACCAAATTACGTCATTTCCTTTAAAGAAGTGGAAGGAATTTCCAAATGACATTTACGGAGGAAAATTTAATTTGCGTCCCCGCGGATGCAGACTTAGAGTAACTGAGGGTCCTACGTTACTATTTTTGCGTCAAGGACGCAGGAAATGTGCGTCAATAGAAACCCTTGCAAACATTAAGTTCATTGACATAGGGTGTTTTTACCATCAATATTTTGTTTTTAGCAATTATGGTGCTAATATCATTGATGAATATGGATATATTGGGAAATGAATTGTTGTAACCACTAAAAATTGTAAATTAACAAATAACAAAAAGGATATGGTTTGGCCGATTCTCAAGTAAAAATATTAATCTCTATGTTTTAGTAACTCCTCCAAGACGTTTGATCTACATTTATCTTGCTAATGATGTCATACAAAACAGTAAAAAGAAAGGACCAGAATTCACAAAAGATTTTGGAACAGTTATGGGCGAGGCATTTGCTACAGGCTACAGGTAAGTAATCATGGCAAACTACTCTCTTTCTATGTGCATGTATTTTTCCATCTACTGCTATATAAAAGACCTGCAGTATCTAAATCTTCAGGTTTTTCTAATACTTAAAGTTACATTAAGAAAGTTTCCATTTGAAATCAGTTTATCACATACAGGTGCCACTTCATGACTCGGTAATCATGGTATTGTATTCCCAGCAGTGCATATGTATTGATGTGATGTAAAGTTATTTGCATTATACAAACATGCATTAAAGCATGTTACAACTTACACTATATGCTCATCAATAAAAAATCATTATTTCAACTGTAAACTGATATATTTGTGAGTGTGTGATAAATAAAACATTAAATTCATGTAGCTTCATTGCTAAATTTATTGAACTGGTAGACTACTTAAAATAATGCAAGCCCTTGTTTATAAAATAATATAATGTCAGCCAGAGGCTTATTCAATATCTTTTATATAAAAGTAACAGTTTTTGAATCTTTTGAATTGATTTTGGAACTCTAATCTTTATTTACAGAGAAGCTGGAGAAAAGCAGAGAGGTTCTCTTGACAGAATCCTCAACATTTGGGAAGATCGAGGCGTCTATACTAAAGACTTTATGAAGAATCTCAGGCAGAAAATAGCTGGAGGAGAAACAGCAGCTCATATAAAAGACGTGCTGAAAGATGACATACTAACGGCATGGAAGGAATCAAATCCTAAAAAAGAGTCCACTCCAAGGAAGGAAGAAAAGCCGAGAAAAGAGGCTCCGCAGAAAGAGCTGACTCCAAAAGAAGTTATCCCTCGTAAGAGAAGAAGAAAAGATGAGCCTGAACAATTAGCATTGAAAGTGGAGTTAGATTCAATGAAGCATGATGAATTAGGCACTTATGATGTAAGAAATGTAACAAATTAAAATATTATGTACATGTTCAGATAAGCCTGAAATCAACATAATAATGTGCTACTAGCTATTTTCCTTATTGTTTGTACATAGTTTAAATTAAGAATGTTTAGTTATCTCCCTTGCACAATGAATTTTCTGAAGATTGACGTTAGGAAATACAATGGATAATTTTTGTATATGCAAAATTAAATTAATAGAAGCAGATGGTCAATATACATACAATATGTTGTATAAACATGTATTTGAAATGATCTGTTAAATTTGAGTGATTAAGGTAGCATACACTACTTTTTGAAGCATCCTACCAAGGTTTCCATTAGTACAAGTTTTGGTGTCATTTACTCATGACTTCCAAATTTTAATGCTTTTTCTTCTTTACATATAAAATATAACTTCCAATTTTAGAGATTTCGCACTCTCTGACCTCAGTATTTTGAAACTTAATGGAAGCCCTGTCCTACTCAGTGTGTCAACTACTTTCTTGAGGCATACATTGTACAAATAAGTGTCTAAACTACTTCTCAGTGTGAAAACTACTTTTTTTACTAGAATCATTACTGTTAATAAGAAATGCATTGAAATAATATCAGTCCATCTTTGGATGTTTCTGCAAATAAAATGTCTCAGCCTAATGACCTCAACATTTTTTTGTAGCAGAAGCACCCCTTGATGTCGCCCAAGCCAGTGTGGTACCCTCGTAACTATCTTGTTTTTACTATAACTATTACATTATAATCATTAATGGGGAAGTAAGACTAAGAGATTATCTTCTAAATCATTCCATGCTTTGTGTTAAACTTAATAAAAGATATGAACTGTAAATATACATTTTCTATTGTTTTTCTTGACAGACTGAATCATTAATAAAGCGATTATCAGCATTAGAGAACTCCGCCTCATGTGATGCAGCCATACGGGAAAAGATCGCCAAGTTACCTCCGGAGGTCTCAGATATATCTCAGCTAGCTAAACTACATGGTAAGTTATATTTTAATTCTGTAAGCACTGATTTACGAACATGTGAGCCTGTGCCACTGCAGTAGATGGATTATGCTGATAGTTTCATTCTGGTAAAAAATACATGTCATAAAACAGCTACCAATTCAATGTCAACATCAAGAAATACATGAGAACATGAAAGTGCATGTGTTGATGCCATATATTCAATACCAAGGATGGCACAAAAAGAAGGCATAAAAGCCGACTTATTTCCATTGTGGTACTAAACTTTTAACTGTTACCTATTCAATACTAATATATTAACTATAATATTAACTGGGAAATGACTTTAGAATAAAGGAAGTTGCTTGTAAGTTGTAATGTTGTATGCATGCATATTTTTTTATGGTTGAGTGCACACCTACCTTCATAAATATATCTAACAACTGCTTCAGGGAATTCATTCTGTCACTTAATGGTCAACAGTATTGTTACTTTTGCTAATGTGTGGGTGGTCATGAGTTAAGCAGGATCTTTTCTGATTCATTTGCATCTTCCTGTTGCAAACTTAAAAATGATAATAAGATTTTCTGAACAATACAGTTACATGTATAACCTTGTGAATGATTAATTCTCCAGACAGATAAACAATTAAGTAAATCAATATGAAAAATTGCAACTGTTGTATCCAAATGACTTGAAAAAATTTGTGATCATTGTGTTGCATATTTCTCATTGTATGTATGCAATGAACAGTGCAGTATTATTATATTTCATTATGCTTAAGATGTTCCATTACAAAGTCATGCTGAAGAAATTTCACAATATCATGATTTATAGAAAATATAAATAATATATAATATTTAAAGAGGGATAAGCACTTTAGGTGGCAAACAACTAAATTTTCTTGGTGTCATGGTCACTCTGGTGATGCCCCTTTCATAGTGAACTTCATAAAATAAGAAAAATAAGGTGGCCATTTTTTTTCTTAGAAAATAAACCACATGACCAGATTTTAAAAAGTACTGTTACCTTTGTAACAGTACAGATTTCTTAGTTGCTTGGTACACTTGCATTGACAGTTTGAATAACACCCATTGTCCTGTTGGAAATTAAGATTACTAAAAGAGCCTGGGGTTATAATGAAAATGATTTATTACAGATAAAGATTCTGCCCGTCGTCTTTCAAACACGGTAGACAATGCGTGTATTCTACTGACAGATTACAACAAACGGCTAGCCGAGGAGTTAGACGAGAGAAAGAGTGTTGCAAAAATGTTACGGGCTTTCATAAATACACAAACTGAACAGCTTGGTCACGCTGAAAAACGACTACAGGTAAATTATAACTATCTTCATAGTTTAATGTATGTTTGATTATTTTATCAAATTAAGCCATTGATTCAAAACTATATTATAAAGGTACTCCACTGAGGTTTTATTGACATGAAGGAACTGGAAATAATTTTTCGAGATCAATGTTCCATTTGATGATGTATAGAACAAAAATTTCAGATCATAAATTCACTATATTTTTTTTCCAAAATGAATATACTTATTGTGAAAAATTACCCTATTAGGGCTCTAACCCACAATCTATGGGTTGTGAGGCAAACACCTTAACCACTAGGACATGGCTTCCATTAAAACATGACTTTTTTATGATAAAGAAAGGTCTTTTGTTTTGGCCTTTTTTTTTTACATATTTTCCAAAGTACTTATTTAAAATTATTGTTTCCCCAAAAATTTTCCCTCACATTAACGTATTTCGCCTTTTCATATTTATTGTATTTACCCTTTATTATATAGTTGAACTTTCCCGGTTTTCAGAAATTTTAAAAAACGTTATTGAAGAACCAGTGCAATTTTTTATTTTTTTATTTTACACAACATCCCCTTAAAAACCCCTTTTCATCATTTATTGGGATGGTATTTATTTTTTTTACAATTTGCTATTTTTTTGGAGTACAAGAAAAAAACTAGCCCCCAAAGGGGAATGTGGGCCGACATTTAAACTAAAGTCTCATATACAAATTTGGGTTTTGGGCCTTTCCCGGGCCCCCCTTTGCGGGCCTCGCACCTCACCTAAAATTTAATGATTTTTCTTCGGATGATTTGGGGAGGAATTAACTTCTTGTTTCACAAAAATTTGGGAAAATCGCACAATGATTTTTTATAGGACAGAAATATACCAGTTGAAAATTTAAACGTCCTATTGATTACTGTTTTGTTGTGAAGAGATACTGTAAATACATAGAAGTTTAATAGTTTAGTTTATACAAATTTTCATATTTCAATTGTGTCGGTAGCTATAAGCTTATTGAAACACTCTCAAATCCGTTCCTTGAACCAACCAGTACTAAGCAATGAGTTTGAAGTTTTTTGCTCAAGGAAACAATGACTTGCCCTTGACAGGATTTGAAGTCACACGGCCAGCAATCCTGAGATCACCAGTCCTATGTGTTAACCACTCGGACATGCCGCCTCTAAGTTTAGGAACCTATGCACCATGTGAATAAAACTATGATCCAGATGACAAACTTAATAAAAAAAAGACTTATCAAAATGTTAATGTTATTAAAACATTACTGAGACAAAAAAAAAGTTGAAAAACAACAATGATTGATCAAAATTATTATTTTTTGGATATATGCATGATCAGATGTCATAATTAAATGTGAATATTTGAAACTGGAAAAGTTATCCATTTTATGAAGAAGAAAAAAGCATGTTTGTGTGTCTCTTTAAGTTTATTACAAAATAATGCAAACACTAGATTTAAATGATTATATAAGAGTAATTATAACTGCTGAACAGTCTAATATAAAGGTTCAACAAGTAACAACGACATAGTCACTTTAGTACATTAATGGCCCTGGGTGAAATATATTACATTTAATTAACCCATTACTGCATAAAGGCGACAATATTTTCCTTCTCCAAGAAAGTTATATTACATTCATGTCATTGTACCCCACCGTAGGTCTTCTCGTCATGAAAATACAAATATTTAGATGAAATTGACAGGATTGCTTGTTAAAATTAACTGCAAAACTTATCTATAATTGGGTTTGCTTTCTTTTTCTCAAAGAAATGTTGTTTTTTCTATTACAGATGGAGATCTATAGAAGGGTTATTTAAGATGCAATATTTCAAGTGCTGATTTGCCATAAGATGATATTTGTTTCAAGGGAGACAATCATGCTAGTCATCTACTCAGATATTCATAATAGAGTTATCTCCCATTAATTGAATAGAAAGATCACATTGCCGGAGCAAAATATATTGTATAATATCTAGACAGCAGGAAATTCTGCAGATATTATTGTGTAACTTGAATAAATAATGGTATCTTGTGGTTTAGACAGGTAATATGTATGCAAATCAACATTTTATTTGTTTATACAAAAAAAGTTTGGGTTGAAAATCCAGTACAGTTTTGTTTTTTCAGTTTTACTCATCATTGAAATTGTGCATTATTTTTTTAATTTTTAAAATTCAGTGGCATTATATATATGCTTTGTGTGTTTCTGTGTTAGTATAAGTGAGTTTGAACCACAAAGTTTGTCAGTTTTGTAGTCATATTTCATTTCACATCACCAAACACAGTCTTTGTTATGTTGTCTATGGACAGATGTTGTCTTGACTTTGGCATTGTTTTGCATTAGTGAAAGAAAGTCAAATTTATGTTTGTCTGTTTTGTACGCCCACTGTATTGTTTATTTTTTAAGGAAAGAAAAGTACTACAGAACATTTTGGAACATTCATGAGAAAGTTCCATAGCAACAACTGTATGCCCCCTTTCATTTAATACTGTACACTATTTTCTAGAAAAAATCATTTAAAGAATGTTATTTAGCTTTTGATGGTATGGTAAAATCATTTACCACAATTATCTGTCATTTTGATTATTTAGTTTTCTTGATTTTTGTGATTTTTTTTAGAAAATTAAATGTCTGAGGTTATCTGAGGTTACTTCTAGCAGAGTTCTAGTTACTGCTTTTAACAGATATCGGCAGACCACTCACACACTGTGCATTCTCTAACAGTAACATGTGAAACTAAAAAGCATTGAAAGTCAGATAAAAACTGCATTCAAATACACAAATGCAAATTGTGATCAATTACAGTTACTTATGGTTTTATTTTTGTTTTAGTTACATGTACCAGTACTTCTTGATGAATGTATATGTATTTATGATTATTATGCTAAAATGGGAATCCATTGCATTGCAACAAAAACATTTTTTCACACTCAATCTTTGTTGGGTTTATAATGTAATTTATTGATATATCTTTATATGTCTCAAAATAGCAATCAAAATTACTTTGGATTTTTATGTTTATTTTCATTTATTTTATTTTTTTTAATTCCCCTTTCTCTTTCAGGGGTATCAATAATTTTCATTTTCTTCTTTGTTTTTTTGTTTTTTACACATTTTGTGCTAGAATCAAAACAGATGCATTTTCTTTGGTATTGAATTTTTCAATAAAATCCCAACAAGAAAATATGTTTCAAGGGGAGAGGTGGTCTAGTGGTGGCTGCCTCTCAACCCAGAGATCATTGGTTTGAGCCCTACTCAGTTCACGACCATGTTTCTTCATATGACACCAGTACTGGTTGGTTCCAGGAAGCAGACTCAAAAGTGCAAGAACTTGTTTCGCAATGGAGCTTAAAACAATATGTTTAAACCAAGAAATATGTTTGAAATAACCTTTTAATAATGTTGTCAAATTATTGTTAAATTAACAACTCAATTTACCATTCACCTGCTGGCGGCTACAGAATCTACCCATGAAACCAGTGTCACCTGATCATTGTCTGCACTGTGGGCTATTCAAAAAGTACATATTTTAGAGGGGGTTTTCCCCCTAAAAATGATGAATGGTTATGTCCAGATTGAAAGATGGACAAGTCCATTTTAAGATATTAAGAGTGGTTATATTGAAATCCCTTAGAATAACAATGGACTGGTCCAAATTCAAATCAGACTGGTCCATTATATAAATATAGGAGTGATAAGTTGTAATATGTTAACAGGTGTTAAAAATAATCTGGGGTTAGGATGGAAAATTTAATTTATATTAGGATTTTATTGTGTCTACTTGGAGAAGAATACCATCAAGGTTGTGTAACTATTTTAAAATACTCTTTCATACCATCATTTAAGTGGTTAACACATCAAAAACTAGTCAGCCTAGGATAGCTAGCAGTGTGGGTTCAAACCAAGTCTGGGGTGAGTCATTGTTTCCTTGAACAGGAAACTTTTCACTCATTGCTCAGTACTGGTTGGTTCTAGGAATGGATTCGAAAGTGTGTTTGTAAGGTTATAGCTTCCTACACAAACAAAAAAATAATCCTGTATAATCCAAACCGCCATTTATTATATCTCGTATCACATCTTTCCAATCTAGTTTGCAAGGTTAAGAAAGTTTAAAGTTTGAGCCATGTCACGACAAAACCAACATAATGGGTTTGCGACCAGCATGGATCCAGACCAGCCTGGGCCTCCGCGCAGTCTTATCAGGATCCATGCTGTTCGCTATCAGTTTCTCTACTTGTTATAGGGTTTGTAAGCGAACAGCATGGATCCTGATCAGACTGCGCGGTTGCGCAGGCTGGTCTGGATCCATGCTGGTCGCAAACACACTATGTTGGTTTTGTCGTGGCGCGGTTCATTTATAAGTTATCACACTTGTTAGGAACGTTTAAGTTTTGACTCAGAAAATGCATCTGTTTTGAACTCTCCTTTTTAATTCATATTTATATCCTTTTTTTTTTTAGATATTTTTATGTAGAAAGATTATGTTTATGCTAAAAGTGTAAAATGTATATAATTTCTTTTATATTTGGTTGTAAATTTGTGGGATTGTGAAGCTATTTTTTACTACTCTTTTTTTTTCTTTCTTTCCATATGTATAAAAATATTTAAATCAGTAAAAAAATTTAAAAGGGGTTGCATATATAAATCACATATATTTTCATTTTCACATTTATATAAGTAAACTTTATTGGTTGATTTTGTGAAAAAAAGTGTATTGTTTTTATTTATCAGTTGCATAAGATTAAAGGCACATTTCTTTAGTTGTTGTTAGTAAGCTTTGAAATTTGTCTGTATTCTTGAGACCAGTATTTGTTTTACAGTCAAACCTGTGATTAAAGGCCACCCAAAGGAGAGACCAGACCATTCATGATCTTTATAGACAAGTGGCCTTTATTCACAGTTGTTTTCTATTGTGTTTTTATCAATGAAGGTTTTTCAAAGAGTGGTCTTTATTTACAGGGTGGTCTTTGTTCAGAGGTGGTATTAACAAAGGTTTGACTGTAGTCTGTAATTCTTATTTTACTCTTTGGCATATAAACTTGAGCTGTATTAGAATTTAGAGGCATTTTGTAGTTTACCATTTTATATTGGGTTCCATGCAGAAGAGAGTTGGAAAAACTTTTTTTGTTTAGTAATTGTGCCTTGTTTAAACATTTTAGTTAGTTGCTTATGTTAATTGACAAAGTTATATATACATATAGATATGGCGTCACTGAACCAGGTGGTGATTTAATTTGTTAAGAAGTTATTTAGCACATATTGAAGAGGGTTAGTGTTCAAGTTAAATGGGAAGTTGATTATTTGGGATCAGTGTTCAAGTGAAGGGGGAAAGTTGATTGTTGAGGAAGTTGATGTTCAAGTTAAGTGGGAAGTTGATTGTTGGGAGTTAGCATTCAAGATAAGTAGGAAAATAATTGTTTGGGGTTAGTGTTAAAGTTAAGTGGGAAGTTGCTAGTAGGAGTTGAATGTTAAAATTTAAGTGGTAAGTTGCTTGTAGAAGGGAAATGTTAAGTTCAGTGGGAAATTGATTGTAGGGGGTAAGTGTTCAAGTTAAGTGGGAATTTGGGGGATAGTAAGTGTTTAAGTGGTAAGTTGCTAGTTTATTGAAGTTTATTCAAGTTAAGTGGAAGGTTGAGTGTAGGGGGGATAGTGTTCAAGTTAAGTTGTAAGTTACTGGTACATTGTTATTGTGGGAAATTGATATTGATAGCACTTTGTTTATCATGCAATGTTGGTTTTTAATTCTGACTTGATGTATATAATATACTATGATTTACTTTGTTACGGCATCTGATTGATTAAACATTAAAGTCTAATTTTTCCTAATAACTGTGTTTGTTATTATTATCCTTCACTGTTTGTAAGTCTCTCCTGGTGACTTATTGCAGACCCTTTCACATGTTTTGGTCCCTATGGCCTGTAACTTGTTTTAGCCCCTTTGATTTGTTGTCTTGTTTAAGCCCCTTTGATTTGTTGTCATCTTTATACCCCCACAAACGAAGTTTAAGGGGGGTATATAGGAGTCAGCTTGTCGGTCGGTCGGTTGGTCGGTCGGTCGGTCCACATCATGGTTTCCGGACGATAACTAGAGTTTGGAATGAGGTATTGTAATCAAACTTGGTATATAGCAACCTTATGTGGAAACTCCGGTTGGTATTGCATTTGGACCCCCTGGGGTCAAGGTCAAGGTCACCGTTACTAAAAATAGAAAAATGGTTTCCGGACAATAACTAGAGTTAGGAATGAGATATTGTTATCAAACTTTGTGTATAGCAAGCTTATATGAAGACCTGGGTTGGTATTGCATTTAGGCCCCCTGGGGTCAAGGTCATGGTTACTAAAAATAGAAAAATGGTTTCCGGACAATAACTTGAGTTAGGAATGAGATATTGTAATCAAACTTGGTGTATAGCAAGCTTATATGAAGACCTGGGTTGGTATTGTATTTGGACCCCTGGGGTCAAGGTCAAGATCACTGTTACTAAAAATAGAAAAATGGTTTCCGGACAATAACTAGAGTTAGGAATGAGATATTGTTATCAAACTTTGTGTATAGCAAGCTTATATGAAGACCTGGGTTGGTATTGCATTTGGACCCCCTGGGTCAAGGTCAAGGTCACCGTTACTAAAAATAGAAAAATGGTTTCCGGACAATAACTTGAGTTAGGAATGAGATATTGTAATCAAACTTGGTGTATAGCAAGCTTATATGAAGACCTGGGTTGGTATTGTTTTTGGACCCCCTGGGGTCAAAGTCAAGGTCACCGTTACTAAAAATAGAAAAATGGTTTCTGGACAATATATACCCCCACAAACAAAGTTTAAGGGGGGTATATAGGAGTCAGCTTGTCGGTCGGTCGGTCAGTCGGTCCACATCATGGTTTCCGGACGATAACTAGAGTTTGGAATGAGGTATTGTAATCAAACTTGGTATATAGCAACCTTATGTGGAAACTCCGGTTGGTATTGCATTTGGACCCCCTGGGGTCAAGGTCAAGGTCACCGTTACTAAAAATAGAAAAATGGTTTCCGGACAATAACTAGAGTTAGGAATGAGATATTGTTATCAAACTTTGTGTATAGCAAGCTTATATGAAGACCTGGGTTGGTATTGCATTTAGGCCCCCTGGGGTCAAGGTCAAGGTCATGGTTACTAAAAATAGAAAAATGGTTTCCAGACAATAACTTGAGTTAGGAATGAGATATTGTAATCAAACGTGGTGTATAGCAAGCTTATATGAAGACCTGGGTTGGTATTGTATTTGGACCCCCTGGGGTCAAGGTCAAGGTCACCATTACTAAAAATAGAAAAATGGTTTCCGGACAATAACTAGAGTTAGGAATGAGATATTGTTTTCAAACTTTGTGTATAGCAAGCTTATATGAAGAGCTTGGTTGGTATTGCATTTGGATCCCCTGGGGTCAAGGTCAAGGTCACCGTTACTAAAAATAGAAAAATGGTTTCCGGACAATAACTTGAGTTAGGAATGAGATATTGTAATCAAACTTGGTGTATAGCAAGCTTATATGAGACCTGGGTTGGTATTGTTTTTGGACCCCCTGGGGTCAAAGTCAAGGTCACCGTTACTAAAAATAGAAAAATGGTTTCCGGACAATAACTAGAGTTAGGAATGAGATATTGTTATCAAACTTGGTGTATAGCAAGCTTATATGAAGACCTGGGTTGGTATTGCATTTTGACCCCCTGGAGGTCAAGGTCAAGGTCACCATTCCTAAAAATAGAAAAATGGTTTCCGGACAATAACTAGAGTTAGGAATGAGATATTGTAATCAAACTTTGTGAAAAGCAAGCTTATTTGGAGACCCCAGTTGGGATTACAATTAATTGAAATATTTCTTTGTACACAGTTGATAGTTTGTGTTGAAATTTTTCTTCAGACTACTTATTTTTCAAAAAGTTGCTGGTGGGGGTATTAATCACCTTCAGTGATAGGTCTAGTTATGGCTTGTTTTGTTCTGTATGACTTGTCGTGGTCCCTAGGGCTTGTTTTGGTTTGGTCCTTGTGACTCCCTTCGTTCCTTGTGACAGTTAATACAACTGAATAGCTTTATTTTAGTTACTAGAATATAGTGGTATATAAATGAGCCGCGTTACGACAAAACCAACATAATGGGTTTGCGACCAGCATGGATCCAGACCAGCCTGCACATCCGGGCAGTCTGATCAGGATCCATGCTGTTCTATGGAATGCCATAGCTGCCTTATATAAACACTTCTAAAGTGGTCATGTCCTTTTGACAGAATGATAGTGCTGTGGTTCTGATAAATGGTTATGTGGTTTTAATAAAGGGTGATGTAGTTGTGATAGATAGTCCTGTTGTTTAAGTAAATGGTGCTGTGGTTTTGATAAATGGTGATGTCGTTTTGACAGATGGTGTTGTAGTTTAAATAAATGGTGCTGTGGATTTAATAAATGGTGCTGTGGTTTTGATAAATGGTGATGTCGTTTTGACAGATGGTGCTGTAGTTTATGTAAATGGTGCTGTGGTTTTGATAAATGGTGATGTTGTTTTGACAGATGGTGCTGTAGTTTAAATAAATGGTGCTGTGGATTTGATAAATGGTGATGTCGTTTTGACAGATGGTGCTGTAGTTTAAATAAATGGTGCTGTGGATTTAATAAATGGTGCTGTGGTTTTGATAAATGGTGATGTCGTTTTGACAGATGGTGCTGTAGTTTAAGTAAATGGTGCTGTGGTTTTGATAAATGGTGATGTCGTTTTGACAGGTGGTGCTGTAGTTTAAATAAATGGTGCTGTGGTTTTGATAAATGGTGATGTCGTTTTGACAGATGGTGCTGTGGTTTTGTTAGCTGGTTTTGTCATTTTGATTATTGGTTATGTAATTATATATATGGTGCTGTTGTTTTGATACATGGTTCTGCAGTAATGATAAATGGTGAGCTCGTTTTGATATATGGTGGTGTCACTTTGGTACCTGGTGTTGTCATTTTATATATGGTGCTGTTGTTTTTATAAATGGTGCTGTAATTTTGCTATATGGTGATGTTGTTTTTATCAATGGTTATGTTGTTTTTATAAATAGTGCTGTAATTTTGCTGTATGGTGATGGTGTTTTTATAAATGGTTATACTATTTTGATGTATGGTGATGTTGTTTTTATAAATGGTTATACTATTTTGCTGTATGGTGATGTTGTTTTTATAAATGGTTATACTTTTTTGATGTATGGTGATGTTGTTTTTATAAATGGTTATACTATTTTGATATATGGTGATGTTCTTTTTATAAATGGTTATACTATTTTGATGTATGGTGATGTTGTTTTTATAAATGGTTATACTATTTTGCTACATGATGATGTTCTTTTTATAAATGGTTATACTATTTTGCTATGTGGTGATGTTCTGTTTATACATGGTGATACTATTTTGATGTATGGTTCTGTGATTTTTTATTACGATGATGATGAACTATTTATAGATGACCTGTTTGTTTATCGGAACATTGTGATTGGTTATTTTAAAAAATGGAGACGTTTTTGCGCCAAATTCTATACACTCTTATCTGAGCTTTATCACATCTTGACTGTTATTTATCCCCAAGTATTTCATTTCCTGCATAGATAATTTGCAGACAAAATCAGGCGTGATCCTTTCATTTTCAAACATTGTCCACAAGTTACCCATTCCAAGGTTTTTCAAAATTGCTTCCCTTGTTTTCCACCACTTAAACATTTCAACTTTAATTTTAATTTATTAATCTCAGAGAAAAACATTTAACCCTTTCCTTGATGAGCAAATTGTCAAAAATGGCCGTTTTCATTGGAAAGCCTCCTGTTAAAAGTTCAAATTGCTATGGAACTATGAAAAATGCTTCGATACTGATGAAAATTGGCACAAATGTTGACTGGACAATAGCCTCTGTACATGTAACAGCATGCTCAATCTTAAATTTCCTGTAAAATTGGCAAAGGGGGAACGTCTCAAAATTGCCAAAAATCACTATTTTGCATTGTTTTTTTTTTCATCAAAACTAACTTCAAAGTGCTGCAACTTCTCAATGGATTGAGATAGAGCAAAAGGCTTTTCAGCGTTGGTTACTCGTTACCTTACGATCGACCTGAGGCCATTTTAGCCTGTCACATGTCCAAAATTTTCTTGATGATGAGGGGGACACATCCCCTTTCTGACAACCCCTTGATGTATCATTTTGATGGGGGCGGCGCCAAAAATATGGTCACTTTTTAACAACATTTCTCAAACGAAAAACAGTGTCTAGGGCTTAAATAGGGCATTTTGTACTGTCTGAGGCCTCAAAATGGGGGGGGGGGGTCGACAAGCCGTCAAATTACGTCTATATGGGGTAAAGTCTATTGAAACGACATAACCATTTATCAAAATTACAGCATCATCTAACAAAACGACATAACCATTTATCAAAATTACAGCACCATCTATAACAACCACAGCCCCATCTTACAAAGCGAGATAACCATTTATCAAATCGACAGCACCATCTTACAAAACGAGTTAACCATTTATCCAATTCACAGCACCGTCTATTGAAACGACATCACCAGGTATCAAAATTACAGCAACATCTTTAAAACTCACAACACCGTTTAACAAAACTACAGCATCATCTATCAATTCGACTTCGCCATTTATCAAAACGACATCACCATATGTAAAAACGACATCACCATCGATCAGTGCTACAGCACAATATTTCAAATAGACTTAACCAAGTATTGAAATCAAAGCACCATTTATTAAAATGACATCACTATATATCAAAACCACCGCACCGTTTATGACTGTATATGTAAATTACATGACCATCTATCTGAACGACATCACCATACATGTAAATAACATCACCATTTATCAAAACTATAGCCCCATCTATAAAACGACATCACCATTTATCCAAAGGACATCACGACTTGATAAGAGTGAATATAAGGCAGCTGTGGCGTTCCATACTGTTCGCTTACAAACCCTATAACAAGTAGAGAAACTGATAGCGAGCAGCATGAATCCTGATCAGACTGCGCAGATGCGCAGGCTGGTCTGGATCCATGCTGGTCGCAAACGCACTATGTTAGTTTTGTCGTGACGCGGCTCAAATTATGTATCATATTGTCATTTTAGCACATAAATTATCAGAAAAAAAACACTGTTCTTTCTGACATAAGGCATTTCACACATTCTATATGTTCGATCCGCGCCAGCGTCTTCGAGTTATTTCATTTGAGAAATCTATCAACGTCGGTGGTTCTACCCAGATGCCTGTTTGTGCCTGAAATAATGCAAAAATGGGGCAGCTAAAGTCTTCAATAACACTGGAAAGTCTCTATATAACCTTTACTGTGTTGGTACGACATAAAACTATGAAACCTCGACCTTCCAGTCAGTGCTAAAGGTCAACATTTAATACAAAATTTATTTCAATTAAAAGCAAATAACACAGAGGAAAATGTTGATTTCTATAATAGCGGACCGGTTATTTTATACATTGAGTAGTAGCGGATTTGTTTGATTTTTTTTACTGGACCACAATGTCACATTTTTACGACCCCTGGAAATGGACTACATATTGTCAGCAATTTCTGGTATGCTGTGGTTTCTGTAATACTATTAATTGTATTCCCGATGCCCCTTTTTAAAAAATAAAATGTTTCTCACCCATTTATGTATAAGATAATTAAGTTCATGTAAGTTCAACATCCCAAGTTTATCTCTTAAAAAAGCGCCGAGCTTAACCCAACATCAAACAGAACATCTTAAAAACCAATGAAGTAAGATATTTTTTTAGTATTGATCACTGGGCAAACTGTGATCATGATGGTTGACATCTCGAGGATTCATTTCCTATCTTAAATCTCGCAGCTTTCTCCCTTTCTCCCACACACCGACGTTATTAGTCGTATCGGCGATTGTTAGTGCGATACGTACCCGCACCGGCCGCGGTTATCGCACTTTTTAATCAACTTATCGTTCTGTTTTATCTAACGAAACGGGTTATCTCCCTTTTTTAATCTAAACCCAATCGAATTCTATTCTTTATTGGATAGAACTGCCATGGTTACAAGATTATCGTGATATTGATTAAAACTTTTTTTCTCTATATAAAATAGCTTTACTTAATGAGAACAGCGTAGTTTTTTGTCTCTTTTATAAACAAGCTTTAGTAAACAGATGGTATATATTTTTATACTAAAATGTACTTGGATGACTCACAATTTGTCAAGGACATTTTCGATCACATATTTTTTTCTCTGAAACAGAAATCAGCTTAACATTGTACGTTAAAATATTCCATGAAATGTTATGAAAAATCTCATCATCCAATGATATGTGCAGGAACAATAACCCACTGCATGAATCCGCGAAACACGTGCATAAATTCGTTAAGTATGGTATGTATTTTGCCTATGATTTTCTCTTAATCTGGTTGCATTATACGGTAAATAAAATGTGTTCTTTGTGAAAAAGTGATAAGTTTTAACATAAATACATCATTTACATCAAATTTAAAATTTGTACAGTATAGAAATGATGTTATCATTTTATTTATGCTACTCTAAGTTACTGTAGTGTCAAAAACCAAGTAAATCTGACTTGTGACCAAAAGAAAACACTAAAAACGTTTCACTATTCATCATTTATGTACCATGTCATTGTTCACAGCTGCAAACGTTTCAGATTCTGACATAATATGTTGATTTTTAATACACCCTTGTTAAGAAATCTTAGGTCTATGACGAAGGGTCGCCATGACTTGGCGTTTATACATTTTATAGCCATTCCTGATTTATGTCACCGCATAATTTTTGTCTTGTCGCATAATAACTTCTTTAAGTTTACCGCCAATTTCTCATTTAAATTTTATCGTCTGGTTATCGCGCGCGCTATCTTATCATACTTATAATCGTGTCTTATCAACGCAACTCTTTGAAACAATCAAATTCAAAATGAATTTAA